ACCATTCCTAGATATCATTAGATATAATAACCAACTTCAGTTGATTTATAGAAAATCTACCAACAAGAATTAGCTTATCAATTTTTATTCCTACCACTGCAACAAGGTTAAACCTGGATTAATTATAGGAGTCTATTTAAGGGCACAAAGAATCTGCAGCCCCAGTTACCTTAATTTTTCCTTGCACATGACCCACAGCGTTCAAAGAATATCCTGGACTTTGTACACCCCATTGCACTAAAGAGGGTAGTCGGAAAATAATAATGATCAGTGTGTGTGTGTGTGTGTTTTTTTTTTTTTTTTTTTCCTTCATACAATCAATTAAATCAAGATTAAGGGGTACAATTTTTCAGTAAATAAATCTCAATATATCTAACTTCTTGTTTCTTTCAATGGTTCCATATTTCTGTATATTTTTGATCTGGGGAAAGTTTAAAATTCCCCCTCCCCTCTTTTAAATAATTTCACTCCAAGCAAGACAATAAAAATAAAGCCAGTAAGACACACTGGTTTACCGAGTGAGACAATATATGAGAGAGAAAAAAAACCCATTAAGCTGAGAGAAAGAATAGATATTAAAATGGAAGATAACAATTAACTTTGAATTTAAAATTTTGAACATCATTGTTAACTGGAAAGCAAGAAGCAGGTAAGGAGTTCCACAAGTGAGAAATATGAGAGAAGGAACTTTTAGTATAGAACACTTACATTTACATCTAACCATTTTGACTGTAAAATGATGTGAATCTTGCCATTAATCTAGTACTGCGCTTAAATACTTAAGTCTAGGTACTATAAAGGAATGTTCATCTGAACAATTACCATGAAAGTATTTATAGAAAAGTTACAGTGAAGCTATATTGTGGCAATGGGAAAGTGACTGAAACATATGTCAGGTGAGGACCAATAACATTGCAGATTCTTCTCGGGATTAGATTAAGCATCTTTAAATGCATAGCAGAAGCACCAGACCAGATGTAGCAGAAATATTCAATGCATGGACGAATGGTAAACTTAAAAATATGTAAGATAGATTCTGGCAAGAAAAACTGTCTAGCAGCCAACTTTCTAAATGTACAAAAATAAACATCAAGAAACCTTGAATACTGGCGGCAGTTGTATATTGACAGATGTTGATTAAAAAAAATTACATATTGGTGTTTTAAAATGTTATTGATTACTATTTTAATTCATTGAAATTGTACTTGCTCTCTTTGACTTTAGCTCTTCCGTGGTATATAGGGCAACAGTCTCATCACACTTGGTGTTACTGCTCTGGTTTATGTAGCTTATGGAGATATTAATTTGAAACACCAGTTCTTATACAGTCACTGAAGTTAAGCAATGTCGAGCCTGCACAGTACCTAGATGGGTGAGTGCATGGGGAATATCGGCTTGGATGTGCAGGTGGTGTAATAGATGGCTGCTTGGAATTGGAGTCTGGAGAGCAGTTTCAATTCTAGCCCAGTTCATTATATTCACTTAAATGCAAATATTCTTGGGAAAGGTATGAATCCACCTGTTCTTCTCTTGTCACTATGGATTAATTAGTAGGGCTTGTATCGGTAAATCATTTTCCCCCTATCCCAATTTTTACAATCTAAAATGTTTTCCGTCTTAAAAAAAAAAACCAAAAAAAAAAAAAAAAAAAACCCCAAATCAATCAATTAAAAATCTGTAGCAAGTAAGTTTTTACAGGGTTGAGTGCCTAGCTCTCTGCCCAATTTGTTTTGAATTTGGAGTTGTCTTTTCTTGGACTGCTTACCAACCAAGGTTAGAGAGTCCAGTCTGCTCTGCTATTTAATCCATGGCTGAAGAGAGAAGAGATGGATTCATACCTTTCCCAATCTTAATTGTTCAAAGTGACTGCAACATACTTGGCCAGAATTTGAGTTGCTAATTTCACTTTTCCATGAAGTCTCTAAATTTAGCTAAATTTTCTATGCTGTAAATGATCACAATGTGCCTTACAAATGTTGACTATAAATGGCTGCTTAACTTTATTATTTTTAAAGCACCATTGAATCAAGGAAAGTTGTAATTTTGTCTTGTAACTCTTTAATGCTCGACTCTTTTTCAAGTGCAGGGCTGTGAGTGATCACGATGGTACTTTAGTAATTAATGTTATTCGTAACAGTGGCTATACCTGATTATGAATTTATAGCCTGTAAAGTATCCCACACTGCCCTAAAGAAATATGTTGGTGAGTCATGGTACACATGAAAAGCTGCTGTTGTCCATGCAAAGAACAGTATCCAGAAAAGTTGTCAGCAAAATTATTTTATATTGGCCTGATTCTTGTTTTTCCCAGGAAGAGAAATCGGCTATTTTCAAAGAAATAAAATCTTTTTTTTTTTTTCTTATTTTTTTATGGTGTTTGGTTTCAATGAGTTGATGGGCAGTCTGGATGGAAATGTCTTTTTATTATCAGCTGAAAAGTTGAGCATTTGAGTTGGGTTTTTATTCTTGCTTTACCTATAGAAATTAATAGAGAATCTTCTGTGGTCTATATATGTGTGTGCATGTGCTTGAGAGGCCATAAACATGCTTTGAGGATCATTCAGGTTTTCACTGACTGGACAATGAAGCCTCATGATATGTGCTTCTATTCTGGGAAAGGCCCATTGCAAGCCTGTAAGGAAACATAAGTTCTCAAACTCTGTTTCCAATATATTTTTTATTCAGAGACTCGCTTGTACATTCTGGTTTTTGCCTAGATAGGTGACACTTGGAAGGCCTGCCATATCAGTCAAATAGATCAGCTCTTCCGTTCAACCAGTAAGAGCTTCACCTTTCTTCTGTCACCCCTTTCCTTGTTCCTACATCACAATGTGGTCAGCAACTATAATAGGTGGCATTGGAACTACAGAAGGTAGCCTGGAACCACTTCAATCCCAACTTATAACTTAATATAACCCTGCAACTGTGTTATATCTTTAAAGAGGTTTTAAACACAGAGGTGGTACTCGAGTGAAGGAACAGCAACATGCACATAGATGAAAGAGAGGTTTATTGTAAAAGGGAATACACTACTAAAAGGCTGGGAATTGGGCAGCAGGTTAGTAATTCCTGAAACAAGCCCCTAGGTATATCCTATGCTAGTGGTGTAATGGTTAGCAATCTTGTCTTGCTAGATCAGTTACAACTGAAAAGTGAGTTCGATCATCACTAGATGCCCCATACTTTCGGCCTTGTGCCACATCCAAGCTATGCTTGGAAAATAACTATATATAGCTACTGGTATAGTCAGTCCATATAGGCGATAGGGAGTGTGGGACATTCCATTACAAACTGGAAGTCCTTAACATCCGGTTTGTTCGCACTTGTTTCAAAAGTTTTCATCTATTCATTTTCTTTTGGTCAAGTGTGTGGCTGCTTTTGAAGACCCCATTTCACAGACTTATCACTGAAATACTTAAGATGGAGACAAAATAACACGCTATCCTCTTATGTGTCCCAATCATAGTGTGAGCTGTTGGTATCTGCTTGGTTGGTCATTTTTGTAAAACACAGGTTTCTCTTCCACCATTTATTGTTGAGTAGTCAGGGACTGAAGCATGGAAAATTTCTTTTTCCAACAATCCTGCACTTTTTTTTTTACTACACATTAAATTTTGTTATTGAATGTTCAGAATAAATAAATGATAGTTGATTGAATGGTTGCACTGTATATTAGAACCAGTTTGTTTCCATATTAATAATCCTTACTGATCAGTAAGTCACTTGTTATGATCAATCGGTAATATTAATTGTAAGAGCAAATTTTCCTGATCTTTATTCTTTTCATAATATTAAACCTTTTTTTATTTTTTTTATTATTGACATATAAAACACAATTGCTTACGACGAGTTTTTCGAAATAAGGGAGATGACTATTTTCCAAGGGAGATAATTATGTAACGTTTTTAATTCAAAACCTAGATTTTTAGGTTATTAAAGGTATAAATGTACATGAAGTAGAAGATCTGTATGAGTTTCAATATCAGTTTGTCATTTGGATTTAAAACATACAGGAACAAAACCGAATCTGACAGATTACATCTACTCGCTCTTATTTAGAAATTGTAATTTCACTCTTGTATATTATTGGCTAAAGAAAATATTTAAGTGTGCGTGAAAATATTCCTTAGGTATGTGTATGTTTGAACCAAGTTTCTTTGATAGACATGAATATCTGGTATTACCACGAGAATAAACATATATATGTGTATCCAGTGTACTGCATCAAGATGATAGGAATCTGGTATATATCGTGTGGCTTTTTGCATGTTGGATTGGCCCTGACACAAAATGATATTGACTAAAATCTAATAAAAGTAACTGTTTCTTTTACATCTTTGTCTAACTGTATTCCATCCTGCCAGTATGGTCCATATGCCATTCTAAGTTTAACAAAAACAAAAAACACACATTTGGTGTTAACAGTGTATATATTTTACTTTCATTCTCTTTCACTTTTGCTGTTTTTCTTTTCTTTCTGCTTCCCTATCTTTCTTTCACCTGTTAGTGTGCCTCTTTCTGCTAACCCCCTTCCTTGTCAGGTGCCTCATTCAGACTGCAAACACCAGCCCTCACTCTGTTATTGTGTAACATTTTTCTTTGCAGACCTAATGAAATCTACAGGAGACCTGGCAGTTGTGAGGGTCTCTGAAACTTTAGCTTTTATTGTGAGATTTTCACAATTTTGAACTTGTCCACTCTACTAGGGAGGGCTGTGGATATGGAAGCAGGAGTTCCTTCCCTCAAGCTGTGCAGGGTCAACGACGGACGAATGTCAACCGTTGTGCCAGTCGCCAGGACCGCCTTGTTGACGACGGTAATCACACGGTTGTACTTCAAATTGTTCGGCTTGCTCGACATTTCCCCTAATTTTACTTTTCAACTTTTATTGCAAACTATTAAAAAAATTAAACACGATTTATTCATTTCTGTTTGGCATTTCTAGAGGCATCAAAATTTAAATATTTTCTTTTTCTTTTCCGATCTTCATTTCTTTCCAGGTTTTTGAACGAGGAGTGAAGGCCATTCCTCTCAGTGTTGAGTTGTGGTTACATTATATATCCTATGTTACTCTTGAAGCTTATCAAGGCAAAGAAGAGAATGTTGAACGGATCCGTGCGTAAGTTGAAAAACCAGAATATATATTGTTATTTATTCTGCAAATGATGGTGTAAGGCTTGAATTTTTCAGTTTTTGTTTCAATCTTTTTTGTCCTTTCATTACAGGTTTGCTTCTCTAATCATCTAGATAACTCCTTTCTAGTTTCACATTTCTCGTGGTGTTGAAAAATACTGGGGGTGAAAGTAAATAATTAAAAAAAAAAAAAAAAAAAAATTCAGAAAATATTTGGCACCAAATAACTAAAATAAACATTTTTTTTAATTCTTGTCTACAGTAATATGACTTAAAAAAAATTATTCTTACTGCTCTAGTGATATTTTTATACATGTTCAGGCAAACTACATTCCTTGATTCCACTACTTCAGGCTTTCACAGCCAGAACCAGCCATGCTATGTACACTGAGTCAGCTCATTTCTCATTTCCTTCATATTCCATTGGTAAGGAGTAAGTTCCACTCTGACAGCTTCTTTCCCAGAACTGGTGTAATGCAGAACAGACTTCCGAAGATGCTGCTTTCCTGTTCATTATATTCTTAATCCACTGTGAATCCAGGATTAACTGTTATCTTTCCTACATATCATAAGATGCATCATTTGCTCCTTCCCCATATGTCCTTACAACATCACCATTCAATAACCCTCTACCTTGAGTGGCTTTGTATTGGGTAAATAATACTTAAAAAAAAAAAAAAAAAAGTATATCTACAACTCTGTAGAATTTAAGAATTTTCAGATATCAGAATATGACTGATAAGATTCAGTAATATTATTGCTCCTGATCTGGTGGCTCTGCTTCATTCACTTTCCCACTGCCATAAGGTTGCCTCTCTGTCTTTTCTATAAATACTTTCATGGTCATTGTCTGGATGAACTCTTTTTCTATGGTACCTAGACTTTTTGAATTTAAGTGCGGTGCTAGACTGGTGTTGAGATCTCCACAATTTACAGTTGAGCTGGCTAGATGTAACTGTAAAATCTGTGCTAATAGTTTTGCTTGCACTTCTCGCTTGTAGGACACCCTTCTGGCTCCATGCATTCCAGCCAACATTAATTTGCTAAAACTTTAAATGCAATATCAGTCGCTATCTACTTTCCTCTTGATTACACTTTCCTATTCCCATTCATTAATGTCTCTGCTTTTAATTCTCTCATGTCCTGTAACCCCTTGTGTCATAGTGGCTTTACTGCCTTGCATGGGATGATACTGATTTTAAATATATATATATATATATATATATATATACTTTTTTTTTTTTTTATAATGCCATGTCCTTTAAGAACTCAAATGATCATGGCATTCTATAGTTTCTTTTTAATATCTGTGACTTCTTGGGAAAGTTTGTGGAGTAGTTTCCCCATCACTTTCTTGAGGGTTTGAAATTCAGTTTTTCTACCAAGACTATCATATGTCCTGTATTTTAAAATTGATGAGGCCAGTACAAATCTTTTTTTTTCCTCTATGGATATGTAACTGTGTAGGAGAAGGTAACTCTGAATTCATAACTGGCATGGAGAGGGTTGGGCTTTGTCAGTCTATCTTGACCAAGAAACACCACTTCTACTGTGGCTGCAGTACATGGTGCCTAGCCCTGATGGGTCATGGAATATTAGTAAGTTTAACAGATTTTGGCAAAGTAAAATTGGCAACTGCTCCTGAAAAGGACCTTCAATCAATAGTTAACTGGGGCAAGAAATAGTTTTAATGTCTGCTAGACAAAACTGAATACCTTTTCTGCCTGCAATCAGCATGGTTGATGTTGACCTTCAGGAGAGCAATACTCTATGCCTTCTTGCACTCACATTTTCCACTGACATGAAGTGGAGCAACTATACCAAATCAATTGCTCAGTCCACTGCTAGGAAAGTTGGTACACTACATCATGGCAGGCAATCTTTCTTGTCAGAATCCATCTTGCACATTTATAAATCTAGCATTTGTCCAATGAATTGAATATTGCTGCCATATCTTGTCTGGTGTTCCTGCTGTATATCTCAAGATTTTTGACAAAATTCAAAAAAGGTTCTGTAATATAATCATTCCTGATTTAACATCTTGACTTCAGTTACTTTCTCACCAACATGACATGGCTTCCCTGTCTTTTTTTACAAATGTTTTCATGGCAACTGTTCTGATGAGCTTTTTTCCTTAGTGCCTCAACTGAATGCATTTAAGCATGCTACTAGATTGGCAACTACTTCTCACTGTTTTACTGTTGAACTAGCTAGATGCAACCACCTCTTCTATTCTGACAGTTTCTTTTCTTGCACTTCTCACTTGTGGAACATCCAATTTTTTTTTTTTTTTTTTTGCTTCTCTGCCACCTACAATCGTTAAAGATTGTCTTCATGAATCCAGTTGTTTTATTGTTCTCTCCTTATGTCAGTCTTTGCTTTCTCTTTCACCCACTGTCAATGTTTGCATCTTAGTGGCATTATTGCCTTGATTGGATTGAAATGATTAAAAAGTCATAGATTGTTATTTTTTGACTTTTCATTTTCTTCAAAGTTATATCACAAAAAAAAAATTGAAGTTACAAAAGGCACATGTAACTTGTAAGAGCAGTGAGACTCGGCAGATTTAACATCAGGTTAATTGGTGCTGGCTATAGGTCAAGTTTTGGTGCCAAGTGTGAATCTAGCTGTGAGGACAATCTTCACAAAAACATTTCAGAACTTAAGAGTCTTCTGCAGCTACAATTGAGTGAGAGAGAGAATTCTGATAACAAGGTGTTAATTTTTTTTTTTTTTTTTTTTTTAATAGTATTTTTCTAATTTTCAAATATATTATAAATCCAATTCAAAACTGATAAACTTTTGCCAATTTCAGTCATTATTAAAAACTAACGGTTTTCAGTATGGTAGAAAAATTTTGTTGGCTAAATCCTGACATTTTGGGGAAGGATACATTTCAAATACATGTATTGTATAAATCTGCAGTACGGTTTTTATAAACCTTGACAGCCCTGGAAAAAGAATTTGTCCAATATTTTATTGATGTATATTGGGAACAAAGCTGCACCAAAAAGAATGCACTCTATAAATTTGTCCAACATTTTTTCCAGTTAGTGGGAGTAAGAGAGTACAAAAATTGTCCATATTGTCCCAAGTGTTTTCACCCACTTTGTTAGCCATTTTCAAGAGGGGTTTGTTGTTATTCAAACAACACAAAAACTACATCTTAAGCATGAATGGAAATTTATAACACCTAAAAACAAACCCCCTTAAAAATGACTAAAGAATCGGTCAAAATGCTTGGGATAATATGAACAATTTTTGCACTACCTTATTTCCACCAAATGGAAGAATATTGGGGGAAATTATTTTTTTTTTTTTTTTTTTTGTCATGTCCCATGGAACCCATTCCCCCCCACCATATTTACTTCAAGATACCGTCTCTTGTGGTGAATGATTTACATCGAATATCTTTATAGACACTTTAAAATAATTAATAAACATGCAAAAAGTTTTTGTCATTTTAATTACAAAAGTAATTCTCCTTAGCTGTTCTCAAAAGCAGGATTAACCAAGCAAAAAATAATTTCTTGGCATACAGTATTTTATAAAGAATTAAGCAACATAAAACACTTAATAAAATTAGCTTTAAAAAAAAAATAGCACAACTAACCATCTTTATAGAAATAAAACATTAGCTTATTCTACTATAAAGAAGATGAAGTCATTAAAAATATAATTAGCTGGTATACACACACACACACACACACACACACTACGCTAAACTCCTTAGATTTATCATTTGCTGTAAAAACTTCAAAACATCTCCAATATTAATAGGAGTTGACATGCCGTTAAATCCAACATCCATCCATCCATCTCCAATATCAGCAAGCAAAAGCAGCATTAAATTTTTACATCATCCATGCATACACCACATTCTTGTAGGTTGACTTGTGTCTTGTTGAAACTTAGTGCAATTTGTGCACATATTGACCACATCACAGACAACCAAAATGTAACTATTCACTTAAGAAAACTAATAGATAATACCAAATTACTATATTGCACTATATACAAAGAGAAACCTAAAATACTTGATGCTGTTTTTTTATAAAAGAAAGAAACCACATTAAGTAAAATTTTTTCACCAGGGGTCTGGTGTATACAAAATGTTCAATATTATTATAAAATTAATTCTATGAAATATTTGATGCGTTCATTTTCCCATTGCTGCTAATCTCTGTGAAACCATTGTACATGTCATTTATACAGTACGCTTATTTGAATATGAAATGTAGCATTTATCAAAATGCCAGAATAAAGCCCTCAATCTGCCATGATGATATTTTGTTGTTGACAGAGATGGTCAAAAGTACTCTAATCAAAATAGAACAAAAATATGAACTTTGGACAGTTTATCCGCAATTTTGATTTCAATGTTCAATAATTTTTTTGAAAATTAAAAAGTACAATGAAAAAAATGAAATGTTGGTTGAATTTAACAAAATTTGTTTAAATAAATTCTTGCTGTCTACTTTTCTAACAAGATTTCTTGAATGTTCAGGCTGGTAGATGGAAATAAATATACTGTTTAATAAACAAATAAAAACGGAGCATCTATTCAAATATGGGTACCCATTAAAAATTTAAGCAATAAATTCAAATATGTCAGGTTAATAAATGAAAAAATCCATCCCTAAAAATTGTCTTTGTTAGGATACGAAACAGCCTGTATGTATATTTCGAGAATGTGGGAGGAGGCTGTGTTCAAAAGCGCTATTTTGGTTTTGTTTAAGCAGGAGGTTCTTTGTGTGTGTGTATAAATAAATTTTAGTGTGAGATGGAGGTGGTGGAGTTAAACATTTTTTTTGTTTCTGAATTAAAATAATTATTGTGTAATGACAGTTGTAAAAATTTAAATTTTGTATCATTTTCAAATGAGAGTTGTCTGTCTTGAATTTCTCAGATTTTAGATTGTATTTCTTGATGCGTCTTTAATGTGTCTTATCATTCAGTGAACTGTTTTATAACCATTCTCTGTAGGATGAGCAATTAAAAGGATTCTGAATAAAAAAAAAAAAAAAAAATTAATGTTAAAATGGCTTGTTTATTACTGAGTGATTCTTTAAAATGCTCTTCTTTGATTATTATATGGTATGAGTAGTGTTTAGTTTTTAACTATTTAGAAAGATGACTTTTAACTGTCATATTAGTGCATATTTGTAAAAAGTAAGAATAAATATCTTTTGGTTTTGAAGAAAATAAGTAACATTTGACATTATGCTTTCTTAATTTAAAATGAAAAATCAATCGAATGCATAACAAAGATATGTTCGTTTTTATGGATAAGTAACAGTGATTGATGAAACATATCAAAAGTAATTTGCAAAGTTTTGTGTTCAATATATCTTGCCAATTAAACCTTCATGATTGGTCAAGATTGACAGTAATCAAACCAAAGCATAATTTTAAATGCCATACAGTGCATGAGATAATTAATGTATTGAAGATATCCAAGTGTTGAAAATAATTTGTTTATGTTAGTCACTTTGATATTTCACATCCACATATAAACAAGAAATACTTGAATGATAAATTGTATATATTTTACCCAAATCAATAATTGAAAATCATTCTACAGTTTAGCTATGTTAGTTACTTTGATGTATAAATTCCACATGATTTAAAAAAAAAAAATAAATAAATAAATAAACGAGCTACTGGACATCTGTGTGTGACTTATTATGGGAATATTTTTCAAAACAAAGTGGATGCTTTACAATAATATAGAATACAAGAGATTGTGGCTTGAGCCAAATAATCAACTATGTCCAACAGTTTGTAACACATGGCAGCTATGTCTCTGGGCCAATGCTTGCAGGCCAGCCTCAGTTTTTGCTACTCCAGCATGAAACTTATGATGCCATGCAGGGTGTGGTCCACAACCAGCTGTTTCCAGTTGTTTGCATTCATCTGCATCACTTGCAGTTCCCTCTTGATGTAATCTTTATAGTGGAGTTTTGACCACCTTGGACTTTAATTCTCCATACAGAGTAAAATGAACCGCTGCTAAACATGCTAAAAACTCTCTTTCATTGAAAAGGAAGCTAGTCCTCTACCCTGACATCATTCTAGTAAAGTAAACAATCAATTTGAACATGTAATTCTCCCAATTAAACTTACTGAAAGCAACAATAGTTGATATATTATTTGTTTTATTTAATAACCAAACAAACTTAGTTTGCCATACGTTGCTTTGTCATAGATGGGGTCAAAAGTCACTTCAAGTAGCAAATGTTTTGAAACAGTTACTTATCTAAATACTGATTGTTGCTTTTAATGTAAGTTTGTAGTTATAAACAAACTTTGTACTTATCACAGTCTTTGAATATGTTTTTAACACATTCTTATGTAAATCAATAACTTTAATCTAGAGAGGAAATATTTTTTTATTATATCGTATAAGAATGCTGTTATTAAAATCTTTGAGTTTTTTTTAATTACTAATTTTATATCAATTTCTCTTTATTCAGCCTCTATGAGAAAGCTTTGTCTGCTGCTGGTACTGACTTCCGTGCTGACCGTCTTTGGGACTCTGTTATTCATTGGGAAAAACAGCAGGAAAATTTACAAAAAGTCATGGCTCTTTATGACCAACTCCTCAACATACCTCTGCAGCTGTACAGTCATCATTTTGACAAGTATGTAAATTAGCCATTCATTTCACAATTTTAAAAATCTTATGGCCATATCACGTTGAAATACTGGTTCTCATACAATCATCAAAATTAAGCCTGGTCAGTACATAGATGGATGACCACTTGGAAATATCAGGTGCTGTTACTTGGGATGTGTGGGTGGTGTAATGGATAACTGCTCTGTATGGGAAATTGGAGAGTCAAGTTCTTATTCTAGTCAGGTTCATTATATTCACTTACGTGCAAGTATCCTTGGAAAAAAGTATGAATCTGCCTCTTTTCCTCTTGCTATAACGTATCAATAAATCATTATCTCAGAAAGAAATTATCTAAAAATATTTTCTGGCTTTAAATAACCTGCAAAATGTTAAGATGTAAAAATAGATCAATCATTATTTTAGAACATACTCATCATTCAATTTATTGCTATACTTCATATTAAAGCAACTAGTGCCAGTACTTTATTTCTTGGTTTTGCTGATCCAAACCGTCTTTGACTTACAAATTTTTTTTTTTTTTTTTTTATGGGGATTTAGGGTAGGTCTTTGGTGGGGATGGGCTTTGATTCCTTTAGACACAGAACATTTTGGAAACTTATTGGTGGGGTTGGTACAGTATCTGCTACCTTGTTATTGCACTTGGGATGAAACAGATTTTTGCTACTTAATATTTAGGCCAGGGGTTCACATCTGTTTTTGTGTCATCACCCACTTTCACATGGAAATATTTTCCACTAAGGCGGCATAGCAAATATTCAAAAGTATACCAAAATTGTTTGGTAAAAGTGGTTCATACACTTTGTTTTTGGCCTTATCCGATTTATATGCGAAAAAAATGTTATTTTGTCTTAAGAACTATGTGAATGTTAATGACCCTTCTCAAAACTAGAAAATACCAAAACATTCCTTGTTTGTGGGGATATTTATAACTTATCTAGAAATGTAACCCAATTTTCCCATTTAGCCTTTCTTCTCTTTTTTTTTTTATTTTTTTTTATTTTTTTTTTTAAGGTAGCATACCACTTTAATACTCAGAATCCTATATTACCCACCAAAATTTGCAGTTGCCCTTAATTTTCTGTTCAGTTGCTTATTGTCCACTTTGGGTAACCTTGGTTTAGACAGTGAGGGTTATTGGGAAATGGCTTACTAAGTGCTCACTCACCTGTTCTTTTGTGACATGCCTGTGATAAAACCTTTTGTGAAAATATCTAAAAGCCTAACAATGAGGCTAAGCTGTGTCTCAAATATTAATGGAACTTAAAATTATTATAAATATCTGAAAGCAACAAATAGTATATTATTTACATTATTCGGACTATTGTCCTCATCTTTGTTACCATATTTATCACAATGTTTTGGCCGTTGTAAGCTCCGGCCTTCTTCAGGTGGTTGGAATTTCGAACTGAACCCTTTATTTCGCTCGCTGGGGTAGACTGTTCCAGTTCCATATGCCATAATCATCTAATTTCCCTCTGAAAGTTCTCCACTGTCTTAACTGGGTATTGAACTCACACTCACACTCTTTGGGTTTTGTCACTGGATCTAACCAACATCTTTATCCACTGTGCCATGTGTCCTTAAACAATTTAAATCTGCAAAATGTAAGAAAATTATTCTTGGGAATATATTTAAAAATATAACCAGTTCCTTTCATCTGTTAAATTGATCATTATCCACCTTTAACTCCATATCAGTTTTCCACATAATTTATATTGTATTTATCAGAAATCTTGATCTTGGCTTCTATTCCTATGTTTTTAGGACTGCTTTAATCTTCCTCTTAAGTATAAATAACATTAATACAATTTCATAATTGAGCTGAAAATAATTCAGGACAGCTGAAAAGATACAAATGTCATCTTAGCTCTGCTACATGAACCCACTATTCAGTGCACAGGTATTGGCTAAGAAATGGTATTCCATGACCTAAGCATTTATACTTGTTCTTGTTTCCTCTCCTAGAGATTATTATATAAACATTTTTTGAGGAAATTCTTGTTGGCTTTTCCTTGTTGCATAATGGCATATCAGTTCTGAGGATGACTGCCATGAATTTATAGCCTGGTGAATTTTCTTCAAAAAAAAAAAAACAATACTTTTAAAGTAAAAGCTACTTCAACTAGATTTTTTTTTTTTTAATCATGCAAGTAAATGCTATGTAATTTCAAAAAAATTTAATTTATGCTGCAGAACTAATCCTTACTTTGTGTTCATCTGTTTAGTTAAATCTTTTTTTTTTTTTTTTTTTTTTTTTTTTAACCATGTAAAGTAGATATTAAACTAAGAATTTCCAAGACAATGAAAGCAGTGACATTCCTTGAACAATTTTTAATTCCAAGACTTCTTATTTAAAATAAAAACAAAAAAAATAAATAAATTTTGTTGGTGTTGTATTTATATCTATAACCCAAGCAAAGTAAATCCTCCTAAAACTTCAGTGTTATACTTGTTTGTTGCTACAATGGCACTTCAATGTGGCATAATGGTTAGCAAGCTTGTATTAGAAGACTCAGTAGTGAGTTTGATCCTCACTGGGTGCTCAATACTTTCGGCCTTGTGCCACATCTAACCTATGCTTAGTATTTTTTTTTTTTTTTTAAATTTAAATAAAAAGTAGTAGTATGGATAAATTTGTCAGTTGACATTACCTTCTCTTTCAGGCATTTGCATTAAATGTAACCCAAGAGTTGATTGACATGATTTTTCATATAAGGTGCTATATAGTAAGTACATTTTCATATAAGGTGTCATTTAATAAATACATTCTGGAAAAGAAGTAATTTACTCCAAACATTTTATTGGTCAAGTTTTGGGAAGTGGGGTGGCCAAAAGTTTTTTTAGCATTCCTTCATAGTTCCAATCTGTGATTACTTGTTGGAGCCACAAGCCCTATTTAAGATTTTCGCAGGAATTTGTTTATAAACCAACACAATTAAAAAAAGAGCAATTTTTATTTTTCAGCTTTAAATCTTTTGTAAATAGCCACCACCCCAAAGAAATTTTGACCCTTGATGAATTCTTTAAATTACGAGAAGAAGTTTTAGCCAAAAAGTCTGATTCTTCTGCTGAAGAGGAAGATGGGTCAGATGAGCAACCTCCTGGAGAAGAAGCCCCACCTGGGGTGGAGAGTGAAGGTGGGAAGGTAAGGAGAATCTGTTTCTTTTATTTGGTGGGTAAATAGATAAACAAATGAAAAGATAACTCTTGATTAATGCCTGTTGACAACTTAAATTATTCAGATAGACCCTGACTTGGGCTAGAAACCAAAAATGGGATTGTATATTGAAAAATTGGTCAAATGCATTCTTCAATGTTGTAGGGTTTTAAGTTTCTCTTTTTGAATATTTTCATTCATGAAATTAAGATAATCAGTAAATTGCTTTGTTAACCCATTAATACACATTGTTCCATTATTGTGATGTTAGACTTTAATGGATGACAAATAGAAACCTATAATTAATACTAGTGTTTTGTTTTTTTAAATAGCCCCTACAATTTAGAAAAAGGGATTTATTCAGGTTACCACGGTGGGGAGAATGTAAGGAAAAATATAATCAGAATAGTTGCTGTAAGGAAAAAAAAAAAAAAAAAAAAAGCTATCTCTAGAGATTGACATATTTACCCTGTTTAAAAAATGGAGGTTAAACTCATTTGGGCATAGAATTAGAAGAGGAGAAAACTAGAATCTATTTCTATAATACCAAATATTACTGTGGGCATCAACAGGTTAATTGAAATAAAAACAAATGATATGCAATTCAGGGAAATTAATCAATTACTGTTTATACAAGGACATTTAAAAAAAAAAAAAAAAATTAAGCACTGTCAAAAACTATTCAATCATAATTTAATTTTCAGGAAGTCATTAAAAAAAATTGAAGAAAAATCTAATATATCAAAAAAATTTTGAAACTGAAAAAACTGTTTTTCCTATCATCAAAAAAGAATTGTTTAAAATTTGTTAAAAAAAATGTAGAAAAACAATTGGAAAATTTAATTGCAAAATACTTGCATTTTAAGATTCTACTAAAGTTTTTTTTAATCAATGTAATGAAACTTTCTGCTTAAATAATGAAAGAAATTACAAATTTAATGGAAAAAATGTATATAAGAATGTGTATAATTTTAAGCCGTGCATTAAACATAAAAGAATTAATTAGAAGCTAAATTTGATGAGAAAGATATTTTGCTTATGTCAATTTCTAACCAGAAAAATCACTTGAGCAAGTTGGAATTGGTTTAACTTCCCTTTTTACATTTACTAGGGCAGTCACTATAGATTTTTATATCGGTTGTGTGTAAACATTTTGGAATTTTTATGCTTATTGGTATAAATTAAAGTTGGATTTTAGGCCTGAACTACTCCCTCCCCCATTCAATTTAGGTAGCCACATTTTGCTCACTAAGATGGTGATGTAACTACATTGAATTAGGAATGTTTATTTCAAGAAATAGTTGTCAAGAGTTATCTTTGCATGATTACTATATTTGCTGGCCTATTGGATGCACCCAGATTTTGGCATGGAATATTTAGGGGTCAAAAAAATGCACCCCCCCCCCAAAAAAAAATCAAAATTATAGCCATACCATTATGTAACATTCTCAGTAATCATGAAGAAACACTTGCAGTATTAGCACAAATTATACTACTGGTATGTTTTTATTTAATAGGAGTTAGGTAAGGTTTAATTACCAGGACAGTTTTTTTTTTTTTTTCTTCTTGTGAAAAAGAAGAAATTTAGTACATTTCATCATGCATTTATTGAAAATTGTTTTTCAGGGAGCAAAATCTGCATATATAGTAAATTCATAACAACTACGAAGAAATCTACTGCTTTCAGTGAACACTGGTACATATAGTGATAGGCAAAAACAGAAATATAGTACTTGTTTGTAAATGAAATGTCATACATGAAGAAAAGCAAATTCCAATACCTGTATATCAGCAAAAACACACACAATGCAAGCAGCAAAACACCAGTCAAAGCAAATATTTCTGCAAAATCTGGGATTTCTACAAAACAAGCAGCAAAATATTGTGCAATTCCATAAATTTCTTAATTTCCTGGGTGAATTTTTCAGGGATATTTTTCTGCGTTTACTTTTTGGAGTCCTAGTTTCAGAGCTAAGCTCTATGCGTACACTGATTACTGGTGGGACCCCCCCCCCCTGGTCTTCTTATCCTTCTCATACATGTTACTTCTGTATTGGACAGGGGATAATTTTTTGGTGCTTTTTTTTTTTTTTTTTTTTTAAATCTGTCCAATAGACCAGGTAATACAGTAATTTACATTTGGACATGGATTGAATCTTGGAGCAATATTTGTCCTTAGATGTTCTAAATCCTAAAATCCAGTTCAAAGAGTTCTAGCTTTTAAGATACATAAATGCTTACATATTATTTTGTGTGAAGTCATTTTATTCTATACTTAGTATACGGTTATAATCATGTGTAGTTGACTTAAGAGGAACAATTTTTTTTGTTTTTTATCGTAATACTGCATTTAGTGATCTTTGTTATTTCTTTCTGTTGTAAATAATCTCCCCCTCGCCCCATTTTTTTTTTTTTTTTTTTTTTTTTTTAAATTTTTTCAGTCTGATGAAGTTGAAGCAAATAAATTGCGAGCCAAAATCATAGAAATCCGACAAGCAATTCACAAACAGACTGAGGAAGAAGTCAGCAAGCGTTGGGCATTTGAAGAAGGAGTAAGTCATACTTTACAAATACTTTGCAACTGAGAACATTTTGGGAATGTATATACAATTTCACTGGTATTTTTATTTTTACTAGCAACTTTCATATTCTTGTAAATCGACAGATTATGGTTGCCTTATTTAAATTCCTTAGCTACACAGTTTTTCTCTAGTTGTTACTCTTTTTGTCAAAGCATTTGGCTTACTAAAAGAGTTAATATAAGCATAGCATTTTCTTTTTAAACTCTTTACTGTAGAGCAGGTTTTTATTTTTTAAAAATAATTTTGAAAATAATTTGTCTTTTTTTCTTTGTTTCTATCTCTTGCTTTATACATTCAAGATTTTCAAATGCAACATTGATTATTTAAGAAACAAAATCTTGACTACCGTAATTTATCTAAAACTGTTTCTGTCTCTAAATATTAGAATTTTCTAAATGTCTTTAAAGACAGAAATGAAATTTTGAATGAAGGGTGGATGAATTTCCTGTAACATTTTCTGTTGTCTCCATAATTTATTTTTAATATCCTCTGCTGAAATGTGGGTGGAATTAATTTATATGCCAGACATTCATAACTTTTTCTGATCAGTGGGCAGCATATATAGCTCATCATAAGGTTGTCTGTACTATTAAAAAGATTAAAGTTAATTTTTCATTGAAGGAGTCTCAGTCTTCTTTTTCACTACAGAAGACATGTAGGCATATACCTTAGAAATTGGGTAACAAGTGTGTTTTTTTTCTTTTTTTTTTTTTTTGTCTTTCTAGAAAAGATTTTTCTAGATTTAAGAAATTGAAGTCTTGATGGAAGTCTTGATATAAGATCATTTGTTGTATATGATTTGTTTCTAATTTATTCATTTGAAGAAAAAAAAAAAAAATTTTTCCCCAGGAAAAAAAAATAAAAAAAATATAATTTCCTGTTTTCTAAAGTAAATGATGTTTACTTGTATGATCTTCCTTAGTGACAATCCCCACTGATTTAAAATGCTGAAAATTTTACCTTCAACAAAAGCTCACATAATTCAAGAAACATTGTACTTAAACAAAATTTTAATAAATGTTACCTTTCTTGTGCAATTATGCCTGCCATTCAGAAAGCCAAACCAGCTGCAGTTTGCCTATAACTCTTATATTCTATCAAAATCTGAATGCTTTTATTTTCATCTTCAAATTCAATTTCCTATTGATAATTTTGTTAGTCTTAAATGTCTGTACAAAAGCCTGGGAGTTTGGAAACTCTAGATACTCAAAAATTTAAAAAAAAAAACTTATTTAGCAGAAATATATTGATGCTGATGTGTTTATTTAAAAAAAAACAAAACAAAACAAAAAAAAAAACAAAAACTTTAGCCCCTGTCCCAATACACTAAGACTAAGCTGAGGGTCAGGGTCAGTCCATAATGTTTGCGGTTTCCACAGTAAGAAACTGCCAATGGAAAATGTGCAATTTTTGTTAGTAATCCTATTTACATGTGGGGGAAAAAGTCCACTTTAAATGCAACCTTGTGCCATATTCTGTTTTGGCATGTGTTGTTTTATTTTTTATATGGGTGAAATGATCAAAAATCGTTTCCACCTGAGCAATGCATTAAAACCCCAAAGATTTTGTTTGGATAAATGCAGAACTCTTGTAATCTGCTTTCTGAATTTCTGTTACTGTGATTCTACAAAATCTTTTGTCATTTCGAATATTATTGTGACTTTCATAGAAAGTATCCTCCTACTGGAAATTTCATAGAGGTCTTAGAAGAATTGTTTTTTTTTTCTTTTTGTTTAATCTAACACAATGTAGTCGTTTAGGAATTGCCAATATTGGTTCTAATGACATTTTTAAGCTCTTCACCATGCCAGCAATTTGAGTATTGAAGCTTGTTATAGTTAGACCACTGATTTTATATCCTGCCAAATATATTCATTCTTTTATGAACTCCACTGGGCTTAAGTTTTTCATCATTCATTCATGTCTTGTTTACTTACTGATAGTAATCTATTCAGTAGTGCAAATTTTTTTTTTTTTCTTGTAATTTCTTAAGGAATATTTGGAAATAAATGTCTATGGTACTTTTCCTAAACAGCAAGTAAAAATCAATTATTGTTACTTAATGGAATGGGAAATACAATTGGATCAGTCCTATCTGCTTCATTTTCACACTTTGACACTCTTAGAGGTTGGTGATCTAAAACAAATTTATTTTGAATTTCATTTATGTATGTCCTAACCTGTTTCTCTTTCAGATCAAGCGTCCCTATTTTCACATAAAACCTCTGGAACGGTCGCAATTAAAGAACTGGAAAGATTATTTGGACTTTGAAATTGAGTATGGTAGCCATGAACGTGTTGTGGTTCTTTTTGAACGATGTATGATTGCAACAGCTCTCTATGAAGACTTCTGGTTAAAGGTATGTCCATGCTTTCAAATCTGAAAGTATTTTACTTTTACTTAATAAGTGATCTATTAATCATGTGTTTAACCTATTTGGGGGACTTTATAAATTTTTATATTAGATTGATGTAAACCACTTTATTCCTTGTGTGCATACTCTTTAAGAGTTGTTAGCAGAAGGGAGAAAAGGGATAATTTAATTTTCTGATGAAAATAGTGATTGCTTACTTTGAAAAAAAATAGAACAAATTATGCAAGAGATCACTGAACTTTTTTTCTTCTAAGCATAAGCATCCATCTTTTAAAATATATAAAGATCAAATGCAGATTGGAATCAGGCAGGATGACAAAATAAAGAACAAATAGGAAACTTGTATCAATCTAACATGTTTCACTTTTATAAAAGCTTCGTCAGAGATTCAGAAAAAAACTGGCAAAAAGTCAGAAACAGGTATTTTCAGTTTTGTTTTGGTCAGTTCTCATTGGTTGGACACATGTATTAAAACTACATAATTCTATATGTATGCAAGTTTGAAGATTCAGGTTTGTCTAAGCAGGCATTGGATGGTTATGTGTGTCTGTGTAGTAGGAGTTCTAATGTATTCACCTTTGTGTGGTCAGCCAGCGCAGTGGGGTCCCATATTCTAATCTATGGCTGAACTTTTTAAGCATGTATTGTATTAGATAGATATAAGTTAGTCTTTACAAATGGATTCAAAGAAAGATGGCAATGTAATGTTCTAGGTATGTATTTATAGTTGGTAATAATATCCTTAAGTTTTCAATGTATTGTAGATATATATGGATGGGTAGATACAGATAGATACGTGTGGGTGGCTGGATACAGATACATGTGTGTTGCAAAAAAAAAAAAAATAAATACATAGCTATATATATATATATATATATATATATATATATATAATGTGTGTGTGTTTGTGTGTATGTTATTTACCTTCTTGATTATTGATGCTTAACATTTTCTTCATTAACTTTTGCTGCCTTCAACTTTTAAACTGCTTTTAATTGAAGTTAATCAAAATGACAAATGGCCCTTAAAATTTATGATCATGTTCTCTTTCCATTGCAGTATGCTCGCTACATTGAGCAACACAGTGCCAGTGCTGCTCGTGTTGTATACAGGAGAGCCTGTAACATTCATTTGCCAAAGAAACCTTCAATCCATTTAATGTGGTCTGCCTTTGAAGAAAGCCAAGGTAAGTTCAGAAAAAAGTTTTTTTAGTAAGGAACTTCTCTAAATGACATGTTTTATAGTGATATCTTCTCTATTATAATTTTGGTTGTCCCTCTCTTTGTTCCTTAGTTTTCACATCTTTTACGTCCTGCCAATACCCCATAAATAATGGACTATTCCATTTTGACTATGTGAAAACACAGGAATGACATATGAGAGACACTACTTGCTTTCTAATGATGCAGTTTCTACAGATATTTTGTCGTAGAACTTGCCATGAGTTTATTCAATTATTAAGAATTGAGAACTGCAAAATTTTCACACGTCTTTCTAGTTATTTTGTATTCTAAAGTTTTTGGCTTGGGCAATAGATTTTTTTTTTGTCATCTTGTCACATTAACTGAAATTAGACAGCGTGGAATTAGAAACGGTAAGTGTTTTGTATTATAGACCTAAAATGTTTACTGTTTCTCTCTAGACTTTGTGTCTAACAGATGGAATTCATTTGGCCACATACCCATATATAAAATAAAAGTAGATGACCCCAAGATAACGCAGCAGCAAGCAACAAAAAGACAAAGGTCAATTTAGCCCAACAAATCTAAATGAAAATGATAGCTTCTATTTTACTCACTGGCTAGCATTAGGTATAAATATAGGGATTTTCTAAGCATAGCTTAGATATGGCACAAGGCCAAAAGTATGGAGCACACATTGAGAGTTGAACTCACTATTGTAGATGATGTAGGGAGACAAGCTTATTAACCATTACAATACTTCAAAGTTCCCATTATGTATAAATGTGAAAAAATGTTATTTTATGTACAAGGTTTGTACAGTAAGTCCTGGAAAATTGGCAGGGCCTTTTCCAGGGTCCAAAATGTCCAGGAAAAACAGCAACAGCCCAAAAACTCCTTGAAAACTCCTGGAATTTTTTAAATTGGGCTGTCCACATACCTTTGTTTCTCAATTCACAAATGCTAAATCTCAAATCTGGCTAAAATTGTCCTTTAAGAAAAAAACGTTTTTTAGTCGTCAGTATTATTTGGCAAATTATTGCAAATGGTGGTGGTTTGTTTCCTTGATTGGAATGAGTTCATGACCTCATAGTTACTCTTCAGTATTTTCTTGTCTAAGTGATGAGAAAGAACGGGAGAAGCAATTTGAGGGCTTGTCTTCTAGCTGCTACCCTCACTCAACAAGAAAAGAGGAATAACAAAGATAAAAAGGTGTCTGAGACAAGTAAACCTCTCCATCAAAGATAAATTAATTCACACTCACTGAATTTGTAGTCGAAAGGGAAATAATAAATTATTTTACAGTAATAAAATACATTTTAGTAGAATCTCCAAAAACTTTATCAGTGTTTTTGTAAAAATTTGAACAGTTAAAATTTTTTTATTCATATGCCAATTTCAAAAGTAAAAAGTTCTTTTGATCTCTAGTCAGCGGTGGGTGAATAAATGCTGAAAAAATGCGTCCCATTTCAATGTATATCTATGTGCAAACTATGTTTGTCTAAATTGTTGCCAAAAGTAACAAGTTTGAAAATGTAGTTGGGAAGAATGATAGAATAAAAAATGTACCTTTGATGTGTCTTAGGCTAGAAAATGCATCTTTGAAAAAATAAGAATGTTATTTTTAAAGTTTGCAGGTTAATAATGACCTCCTTCGTTAACTTTTGCTGTAAGTGTGAAAAAATGATGAAACATATTAAAACTTATTTGGCTTCTATTGGTTGGCTTTAAAAAGTTCAGTCTGGCAACCCTGTCCTTTTTACTTTTGTATTTCTGTCATAGAGGGTTTAAAAAAAATGTACAAAATGTTGCTATGTGCAACAAAAGACTAGTAGTAGGGGTAGTCAAATCAAATCATATTTGGCTAGATGTCATCACATTTGTGAACTTAATTAAAAAAAAAAAAAAAAAAACCCAGAAAAATGTCCCAGACCAATTCCTTCTCTGTGGTGCTGTCAAATGTGAATGACGTCTTATTTCCAGGGAAACTACAGACTCTTGTCTGTTTTGAAAGAGATTGAACTGTTTCTGATAAACTACCCAAGCAATATCTGTTGCTTTCTTTCTTTGCAGATGATCTTTTTAAAGCATGATCATAAAACTGTTAATATTTGTAAAGGATGAGCACACAAAAAACACAATTACATTTTCCAAACTGAATGAATTTGTAAGAATTTTGTCAAACCCAAACATGCATAAAGATGCTGCAAAGATGAAGTATGAATTTCTGGCAGATAGGGCTATGAAAAATTTATCCAAAAAAGGAAATGTGTCAACAAAAGATCTGTTTGCACGCAGAATTGCAACACTGCTCATTGCTATCATTGAAAAACTTCTGGCAAAGTCTCTCCTTATGTTCCTTCTTGTAAGGTCACTTGCATGGCTGAACCCAGGATCCATTTGTAAAAAAAAAAAAAAAAAATTGCCACTGAAGACAGTCTAAAAAGATGTCTTTGCCACGTGATTGATAGAAAACAAGTCTGATTGTGATGACATCATCAGTCAGTACAAAGAGCTCAAGGAAGAGGCTTCTGGAAATATTGTTTGAAGAATTTCAGCAAGCATGAAAACCATCTACACTTTGTACTCTTTTGGCCAAAAACAAAATATCAAAAACTGGAAAGTTGTTCAGATTGCTGGTACTCTTTTATAGACAGGCTTCTGTGGAGAGAGGTTTCTCGGTCAATAAGGAAATTTCCTCTGATAATATGAAAATGGCACTCTAGGCACACTGCGCATTATCACCAATTATTTTGCAACATTTGGAGGTGCTGGGCATGTTCCATGACTAGGGCTCTTTGCAGTGCTTCCAATGCCAGAACAACATACAACCAATACCTTGAGGCTGAGAAGACAAAAAAAAAAAGCCTGAAGAAGCTACTGGAAAAAAAAAAACAAAACAAATCGATGCTATGGAAATTGAAGAACTGAAGATCAAAAAACACAAGCTAGAAAGTTTCACACAAGATTTGTTCAAGTCTGTGGACAGCTATGCAGAGAAAGCTGGGCAGACTCAGAACTCCACACAGACTCCAATGCCATGTAAATATCTGAAGGGCGAGTCCATAGAGATATCAAAATTGGAAGAGGATCTGATTGCTGAAGTAGATGAACTGAAAATAATGTTGATGTCATTGTGCTATGTGCTTCAAAAGACACAAGTAGTAGGGTTAGCTAAAATGTGTAGTCTTTTTGTGAAAATTTCTATTTGTGGTTCTGTTCATTAAAACCATTATACTTCACAGGAAATGTACAGCAATCAAGAATTTTTTTGACATTCACAAACCATAAGTAGTCTAGATAGCAGAAATTTGTAGCAGTAAGAATTAAAGTGTAATTCAAAATTTTCAAATGTAGAACACCAAATTGTTTTTAGCCGTCACCACTTGGATTTCTTCACTGCTTTCAACTGATCCATGTGACATGAATTATTGTAACCAGCTGTAACTTGTCTTTGAACATCTCATTGAACTATTAAGATAAATCACAAAGTTCGTGTTATTGAAATTGATGCCAATTCGCTTGGTGCATGTGTACACATGCACACCATTTTCAGTCCTTGAAACTTAACATAATTCTGGAAATTTTTTTTACATAGCTATGCAGGAACACTATAATGTAATATGTATTAATGCTGTGTGTGTTTCAGGTAATCATGATGAAGGTTGGGAGATCTTGGCTAATCTGGAGAAGAACAACCCTGGTTTGGCAATGGTGGCACTGCGACGAATAAGCCTGGAACGTCGGCAATCCAACCTCACTGAAGCAGAGGCTCTGTATAAGGAATATATAGACAATGCTGCTACAAATGAAATTAGATCCTTTTTTGCGATCAAGTATTCTCGATTTCTGTCAAAGGTAAGATTTTCTGAAATTAAATTTTTAGCAACAACCTTACTTAAATTTTTTTTTAGCCAAATTGAACTGAAAATGGAAAGAAACAATTCATAGAAAAGATTAAAGAACTGGAAATGAATAACCTTGGCACCTTGTGACATACTAGATTAAAAACCTTTGGATAAAGGGCTAGATTTATGGTGATATGATGGGATTAACAAGCCTTTGAGCATATAACATTGGAAGCAACATTTCTCTACTAGTATTTACAGTGATATGATTTGGGGAACACATTTTTGGGCATATAACCATGCAAGCAATATTGATTTTTTTTTTTTTTTTTTTTTTTTTTATAAGTTAAAGTTTAAATATTGATATATTTCCTAATGGTTATGATCTGCTTCAAAGTTATGTGGTTTAGATTAAATTCCTAGTCTCAGTACATATTTGTCTTGTGACCCAGTATAATCAAGAGAAAGAAAATGGTTCATAAAAACTAAGTGATGACCTACTGTATTTGATTGTTTCTTTTGTTTTCATGCTAGCCTATAAACAAGAATCCTAATCCTTTTATTCAGTCAGCTCATTTTGAACTGATATGGTCACCACTCCCCAATTATGATTTTTAAAGGAAAATAGTGCAATGGCTTGCTGGTTCCTTTTGCACCATTGATGTTGAGGTTACCCTGTCCCTCCTCTCAGTTTTTTCTCCAACTACTATAGCTGTTGACCTTTGAGGTCCAGCTACATTGCCCAGGCTGACAACTGGCTGATGGGCTCTTGGCACAGGTGAGTTTGGGAGGCAATAATACCACTGAATAAAACTCTAATCATATTTGTACTTGATGACAATTGGTCAAGAATTGCATTGAGTTGACAAGGTAATTCAACAAACACTCAGTTAACAAGTTGTGAAGTTTTTATTAAATGGCATATAACACTGATTCAACAATTTTTTTTCCTGCTACTTTGTAAGGAAGTAGGAATATTAGAAGAAAAAAAAAAAAAACTGAGAAAGTTTGGATAATTGTGTAAAGGCTGATTGTTTTAACATCTCCAAATGCCAATGAGGTTTATTTGAATAATGCTTGATTCTCTAAATTCATACTGATTGTTAATATTGGATTATGGAACTTTCCAAAATATATGGGAGTTTTCTGTCTCGGTTGTTTTTATTTTTTCTAACAGTCTCTCTGGTTGATATTACTTTAAAAAAAAATGCTCAGCTTCTGGTGGTGGTCTACACAAACAATATCTCTCCCATTGTAATTTCAGGTGGGGAGTCAAGAGCCAAGGCCTACTGTGTCCCAATTGGGAAGTTCTGGGGTGGGGGCAATTATATACATGAGATTCCCTCTTAAAAAAAGCTTTGTGCCATATTACATTACCGAAGACGTGAAGATAAATACAGTCTCTTTGCAATTGCCTGTTAAACCTAATATACTTCTTTAACACTGCAACTACAGCATTGTTGCCTGCCTGTGCTGGCCCATTTTTTTTTTTTTTTTTTTTTTTTTTTTTGAAAAATAGGAAATTAGTTATTTATTTCTAATAAATAATAAAGACACTGACTGATTTCTCATGGGTGCTGCCATTTTGGTTTTTGGTCGGATACTCTGCAGTACAGACTAAGCTAAATGAACCCCCCTCCAACACAATATATTAATGATACATCACAAAACAGTCATGTTGTATGTTATGTCTACACTGGTTTGAAAATAGCACTAAGCATTAGTTAGTTTATAACACAAATGCTAGTGACTGACATTTCATGGTGTCTTGTAAATGTACAGTGCAGTGCAAAAGTAAGTGAACCACAAAGATAATATTAAAAAAAAAAAAATTTTTTTCTTGAGATTATCAACAAATTTTAATTAAAGTACGTATTCATTAAGAAAAACTTTTTAGTAAGCAAATTGCAGCCACTTTCAAAAATTTTTATCAAGCTAGGATAAAAATATTAATTGAAAACTAAGATGTGCAAAAGTAAGTGATCCCTTACATTTAATATTTTGACATCTCCTTTTGAAGCCATGATGTCAACTAGTCTTTTCTATAATTAAGAAGTTTCTGCCAGTAGTAAGTGTCATATTTTGACTATTCTTGACAAAACTCACACAATTGCTCAATATTACCTGTTTTTTTTTTTTTTTTTGCATGTACTTCCTTTAACTTTAACCACAGATTTTTCAATTGGGTTTAGATCAGGATTTGGGCTAGGCCATTCCAAGACTTGAATTTTTTTTTTTTTTTTTTTTTTCAATCCCATTCTTCTGTGGACTTATTTTGATGCTTTGGATCATTGTCATGTTGGAGAGATCCAGCCCTGACCTAAACTTATTTTCAAACCAAAAGCAGTACACTTTTGTTCAAAATTACTTGGTATCTTGCAGAGACCATTGTGCCTTCAATTTGTATTATTTTGCCTGTTCCAGCTGCAGCAAAGCATCCCCAAATCACAATACTGTTGGAACCAAATTCTCTTCAAAATCTGGATTAGGAGCTTGCCAGACATAGCACCTATTGTTTTGCCCCAAAAGCTCTGGTTTGCTCTCATCCAACCATAAAACTTTTCGCCAGAAAGTTTCTAGCTTATGGACAGTTGAGTCGAGCTTGTTTGTGCTTTTTCCTAATCGGTGGCCTTTTTTCTAGGCCATTAAGACAGGCATCATTCAGATTTTGTTGAACTGTAGACATATGCACATTGATTCCAACATTGGCCAGAGAAACTCGCAGCAGGATTCACCTGGGCTTGCTGAACTAGATGTCTACTTGCTCTTGTAGTTTGTGAATGGCCACTTGATTGCAATGCTGTCATACCAATGGCCTTCCATTTATAAATAATTCTGCCACATGGCCTTCTCCATTATTATAGCCTTCAATTATGAGATTTTTTTAAAGCTTTTTTTTATCTTGCCATATTTTTTTTTTAATTTAGTCTCTAACTGCACCCTTTTACATACACAATGAGTAATATTGGTTGATTGCACAGCTTACCCCAAAAAATGAACATGTCATTTTGGTTTTTACATGTGCATAAAAAAAATATTTGCAATAGCACAAAACAAAAATACAGTGTAAATGAAAGGGTCCACTTACTTTTGCACATTTAAATTTTTATGTTTTTATTCCAGCCTCATAAAATTTTTTGAAAGTGGTTGTAATTCGTTTAATAAAACTTTTTTCTGAATGAATATATAGTTAAATTAAGATTTGTCGATTATCTGGAAAAGGACTTTTTTTTTTTTTTTTTTTTTTTTTTTTTTTTTAAATTAGGGGTTCACTGACTTTTGCGTAACACTGTATATGCATATTGACAGCAGGAGATGTGAGTTTCATAAAGATGTGTGTGTCTATTTATAGCTGTATTGTGTTAGTCATTTTAATCTTAAATTGAATGATTATTCTGGTGAACTTTTTCGCAATGAATCTGTTTTTCTTTCAGGTTTGCCAAAATGTTGATAAATCCAGAGAAGTATTAAAAGAAGCAATTGAAGTGGATGAAGTGAGTTTCTTTTTTCTTTTCTCTCTGACTTTAATTAAAAAGAAAGAAAAAAAAAAAAAATTCTTTTCTAATGAAGATTTTAATTAAAATATTAATGGATTTTCAAGCTGATTTGTTCAAGATTTCTTCTGAACTCCTACCTCTTCTGGATAGACCAGAAATGAATCCTTTCATCATTAATGAAATGAGGAAGCTGTTTTAATAAAATCTTGCTTTCATGTAAATATCTTCCAGAATAGAAAAAAAAAAAAAATTAAATTCTGTATCAACAATAACTATTTTCTCAATATTTATAACTAAGTGATTGGAGTAGTTTACAAAACTTTATGGTAAATATTTATCTAAGAGGCTTTTTATAAAGCCTCTTAGGTAAATATTTACCATAAAGTTTGTAAAACTACTCTACTTAGTTATAAATATTGAGAACAGTATTTACATTAGTCGGACTATTGTCCTCATCTTTGTCGCCATATTTGTCACAACGTTTCGGCCGTTGTACGCTCCGGCCTTCTTCAGGTGGTTGGAATTTCGAACTGAACCCTTTATTTCGATCACTGGGGTAGACTGTTCTAATTCCACGTGCCATGTTTCCAAAATGACATGGATAAATCCTTCAGACATGAATTTGATGTAGTCAAGGCTCGCCAAGTGCAAAAATTAAATAGATTGAAAGATCAGAAGGTGATCCATCAGTAGCAGTAGTCAACATCAGCCAATATCAGCTGAGTGCCTCTGAAGAGTCAGTATTGAATAAGGGTCTCAACTTCGCCACAACCAAGAGTAGAGGAGGTGGCCTTGAACATCCCTCAGGCTCAGGCGGATGAAATGAGATGGAAAGTGAGACAGGCCTTGGAACATAACAAAACTGGAGAGACTGGCGATTGAATCACTACAGAGGAATGAGAACATCATCATACTACCGGCTGACAAAGGTAATGCGACTGTAGTGATGGACAAATCGGACTATACAAGAAAACTGGAAGACCTCATTAGCAATGGTAGCTACAGCATAGTGAAGAAAGATCCTACTATGAAAACGGAACGCAAACTGTCACAGATCCTAATCAAGAACAAGGATCACCGCTTTCAAGACGTATAGGCAGTTATCGCAGCGTTACAGCAAGTTACTTCACATATACGGTCTCCCTAAGATTCACAAAGACGGTATTCCACTCAGGCCGATTGTCAGTTGCCAAGGCTCTGTGTGCCACCCTCTGAGTCGCCTTCCTTTGTAGATATAATTGACCCATTGATCGGAAAGTCTCCTTCATATGTCCGAACTCTCCCTGCCATTCGTGAAATAATCAAAGATGCTCCCATCCTATCCAACCAGATGGTGAGCTTGGACGTGGTGAGTCTGTTCACCAAGGTACCCACGGAGGAGGGCACTCTCAGTAGTCAGAGATAGATTAACCTCTGACTCTTCCCTAGAGGAGCGGACCAGTATTCCAATAGATAATCTGATGGAGATGTTGACTTTCTGTACACAAACAACACACTTCGAATGGGATCTCACATATATCGACAGGATGAGGGCTTAGCAATGGGCTCGCCATTATCACCAGCAATGGCGAATATATACATGGAATACTTTGAAGAAATGGCATTAGAGTCTATATCGCTAAAGCCAACTATATGGTTACGGTACGTAGATGACACTTTCATACTCTGGCCACATCAGGAAGAAGTCCAGGTTCTTCTGGACCATGTGAACTCAATGAGACCTTCGATACAGTTCACAATGGAGAAAGAGAGTAACAACTCACTCCCATTCCTGGATGTACTAATATCTCGAACAGAGAATGGGTTCAAGACATCCGTATACCGTAAACCAACATTCACCGGACAGTACCTAAATTTCAACTCCCACCATCCATACAGCGTAAAGAAAGGGATCGTCCGATGCTTACAACACCGAAAAAAAAGTCATAAGTGGCGATCCAGAGACGTTAGATAAGGAATTGGTCAGTATAAGTAGTACCCTACAACGCAACAACTACCCCGGGTACATGGCAGCAGCCCCCAAAAACTGGGATAGGCGGGTACAAGAGGAGGAGGAGGACAACAACACTCAGAAAACAGTCTGCCTGCCTTATGTGAAGGGGTTGTCAGAGAAAATACAAATGATCTGCGGTCCATATAACATCAGGACAACCTTCAAAAGCGTGACAACACTTCGCAGATATCTCTCATGAGTGAGACCCCCCATAGAGAGGAACATGACTAAAGACTGTGTGTACGCTATCCCATGCAGCTGCGGAAAGGAATATAAAGGAGAGACAAGCCGCCCCCTCAAGGTAAGGCTTCAAGAACACCAGAAAGCTGTAACGCGAGGGGAAGTAGAAAAATCAGGCGTGGCTGACCACATATGGAGAGAGAAGGAGATCACCGCCCCTGTGGGATCATGTTCAGATCATAGACAGGGAACACCATTGGAAAATTCGTAAAACTTAAGGAATCAGCACATATGCTAGGCCACAAAAATCTCCTGAGCTGACCAAGCATAGAAATAAATACAATATGGGAAACCAGTAATAAGGAGTGCCAGAGAAAAGCAATGATAACAAAAAGTTGCAATATGAACTCTGGTAAAGACATGCAATGATAACAGCAAAAATTGCAATATGAGCACTGGTAAAAATGATGCTGAAAACATTAGGTTTATAATACTCAAGTTCATAGGACACATGGCACAGTGGATAAAGGCGTTGGTTAGATCCAGTGACAGACCCAAAGAAGGTGAGTTCAATTCCTGGTTAAGGCAGTGGAGAACTTTCAGAGGGAAAATTAGCAGGAGATAACTGATAACTGACATCCATCAAAACATGGCACGTGGAATTAGAACAGTCTACCCCAGTGATCGAAATAAAGGGTTCAGTAATGAAATTCCAACCACCTGAAGAAGGCGGAGCGTACAACGGCGAAACGTTTGTGACAAATATGGCGACAAAGATGAGGACAATAGTAAATACTGTACATAATACCTCATCTCAGAAATATAGACAAAATATTGAGAAAATAGTTATTGTTGATACAGGTTTTATTTTTTTATTATTGTATTAAAAACAATTCTAGCAAGATCGCCCATCTGGAGATTAGTAATAAGAAAAAGTATTTAACAAATATTTTGATTTGATTTTTGTTTTTGTTTCAGAATAATCCAAAGCTCTACCTCCAGCTTTTAGATTTGGAATACCAGGCCGAACCAATCAACCAAGAAACAATGCTGGAAACTTTTAAGTTTATACTAAACAGGGAAATTCCATTGCAAACTAAAATTAAATTCTCTCAGAGGAGGATAGAATTCCTTGAAGATTTTGGAAACGATATTTCTAAGTGAGTAAATGTTGGATGTGGTTTTCTTTGGACTACTTTTCTTGTCTTGTACACTTCATTTGTTTACCAATCAAATACTTAACAACATTCAGTGATAAGAGGATTTTCTACTTATTATAGGATTTCTTCATTGGAAACTTAAGACTTACAAATAATATTTCTTTTATGACATTCATAACTGCAGTTTTTTTTTCTTCTTTAGTTTAAAAATTTATGTAAATTGAATTCTGTATTGTTTCATTAAGCAGATCAGTTCACCATCAGTTACCAAAGGAATCTTTTTGTCATCATAATAAGTCTTAAACTTTTATCTGGGTACTTCAGCTAGTACATGTCTAGTTCAAAAGATTTTGAAGCCACATTGATTTTTGAGGGTGTGAAAGTTAAAGATTATTTTTGCATTCAGTGAAGTCTTTCATAATAGATTCTTTCTTTCTTTTTTTTTTCTTTTTTTTTTAATTTAATTTTATTTAATTTGGTGGGTGGGGGTTGGAACAACTTTGATTTGTAATCTTTTATAAAGCTACTTCAAATAAGATTTTATCCACTTTGTTTCTTTCCCACCAGACTCCTGGATGTCTATGATGACCATCAGAAATTACTAAAAGAAGCACATGTCGAAAAGAAGAGAAAACTTCAAGAATCAGGGTAGGTAACTCTGCCTGTTGAGATGAAAGTTTGTCATGAAACTTTGTAACATTTTTAACATTTTACACTAATTATTCTCACAATGACGATAATGTTTTTTAAGTGATGATTAAAATTGTAATAAGCCCAAACATATGAAAGTGAATTTATACATTTTCTTTGTTATTGAAAATTTACAACAAAAATATTAACACAACAAAAATTGTAACTAACTTTTGTATTTCATCCTCACCTCTATATAAGTCTGACTCCATTAATAAAACCATTGCTAGTCTGAAGGAATTAACATTATATACAGGAACAAAACTGGCCATAACTTTGATGCCACCCTAATTAAAAAAAAAAACAAAAAACATGCAGTTTTACTTAAAACAATGCACTCAGGTGAAAATATATTGAAAGTGCATTAATTTTAGACTCTTCTTTAAAATTGTGACTGCAGTTTATTGTATTTCTTAGCCCTTCACCTTTCCCATATATGTCTACATTGATAAAACCAGCAATTACCCACTATTTAAGATAAAAAATAAAAAACTTAGAAACTTATATAGTTTCTAAGGAATTAATTTTTTATTTTTTGCAATCTAACATTATTTTCTATGACTAATCTGTGCCTTTCAGCAGGATTTGAACCTGAAGACACAATGTTTTCAAAAAAAAAAAAAAAACAGACATCTGCTCAAACACGGGTATCCACTATATGTAGCCTTCATAGCAATAAGGAAGAGGCACGGTGGAGTAATGGATAGCGGCTTGAATTGAGGAATCAGAGAGCCGAGTTCGAATTCCAGTCGAATCCATTACATTCACTTATGTGCTAACACCCTTGGGAAAGGTGTGAATCCTCTTTCTTCTCCCTCCAGCTATGGGTAAATAGCAGTACAGACTGGGTTCTATAGCCTTGGATGGCAACTGGTCTAGGAGAAGGAAAACTCTGAATTCAAACCTGCTCTTAGAGGAGGGTGAATGGAGTCTCTCTGAGCCTTGGTTGGCAATCCATTTAGTGATGGTGTCACGATAAAAACACCCTTGATAGCCCTAGCGAAGCATCAAGAATTCAGCTATTTGACAAGATTATGAACTACACCAATCAAAGTTTTAGTGAGTTCAATCTCGGCTGAGGCCGCAAGATGATGAGCAATAAGGAAAGTATGTAGTGTTTGTGTGTATGCTCTTGTCTAATGTTTTTCTCTGTCATAGCCTCCTCCCCTGTCCCTCCAACTCTAAGCAGTCTAGAATTGTTTTTTTTTTTTTTTTAACTTTATTATTTATAGTTTGTCATTAACATAAAAACATCATTACAATTATTAGGAAATATATAAATCAAAAAACAATTTCCCTTTTTGCCATAAAAAACATTTTGGCGCAAGACATCTGCTAGTAGACTAATATTCATAATATATATTGTCTAAAGATGTATACATTAAATATAAGGATATTGATAAACAAAACAATTTGAAAAAGAAAAAAATTAAGGCATTTACTATTTGTAAAAGAGATATCCTGGCATATTCAAGTGCATATAAAAGTTTCATAAAATATAATTAAAAGCACTAAAGTTATTATCACAGAAATATTTAAAACAAACACTTGATAATTTCTGTAAGTTTAAAATGTGCAGAAATTTCAATATAGTGCAAGCATTGAGATAAAACTCTAAAGATGTTGTAAGAGGAGTATGGACAATTGAATTTGCACTATTTCATTTTTTTGTCAAACAGTCACTGTCAAACATCCTTTTGTCTCTGTGTATGTTGTCCTCTCATGCACAGCCTCCCCCCCCCCTTGACACCATTAAGAGATTAAACTCCATAAGCTCCATGTCATTTGGTGAAAAAGGAAGAAACTGAACAGATAAGGGAGAATTTTATATATATATATATATATATATACTAAATTTCATTCCAGAAAAGTTATTATAAAGTTTAATAGTAAAATGAAAAGCTATCCGTGCAGATGCCTTTGTTGTAGAAATTTTAATATTATTTTATATATAATGTGTGTCTGGGGCAAAAAAATTCCATAGGAAAAAATAATGATATTTAGAGCACAGAATCCAATCGTTTTTGGCTATGAAATTGGTCAATAAATTACTGTATAAAGTAAGATTAAGTAGGTTTAAATTTAATGAGCTGTTTATCCCAAACCCTGGGACAATAAAAACATACATGTGGCCCGGTGTTATATAAAAAAAAATTTTTTTTTTTTTTTTTTTTTTTTTTTTTTTTGTCGGGAGATCACGTTTAAATATTAGTACAAGTAGAAATGGTGAGGATAAATTAAAATGACGGTTGCACACAGATGCCATCATGGTTTATCTACAAACCCCACAATGAAATTGACCTTAAAGGAGAAAATAATGACTATATGCCAACCCCTTAAGTATATTTCATAATTTAGGAAAAAACCTGATATTAGGCTGTGGTTCAGCCATTTTTCTTCTTTTTGAAAAAAAATTAAACTACTTACTTTTTTATTTTTATTTATTTATTTATTTTGTGTTTTATTTTTTTTTACTATATTTTGTTAATGTTTATAGCTTTTTATTTTACTTTAATTGTAAAGATAGAAGATTGAAAGAGATTTTAGATCGGAAACTTATCTTAGTGTGTTAACCTAGTTTTTTAATTCTCTATATCCCAAAGCTTAGTATTCTTTAATTATTATTATTAACTTTTTTATTCTTGAATTATTCCTTTTGCATTTATGGTAAGGGCTATTATTCAAAAAAAAAAAAGTTATGCTGGACTAGATCTGTTGAAGTGTCTTAGATCCTCATTTTATATATATATATATATTCAAAAATTATAATACGTTATAAAATCACTACAAAAATAGCCATTTTGTTTCAACACTTCTGTCTTATCAAGTGATAATGTTGAACCATCACTTGATAAGTCACCAGAAATGTTGAAACAAAATGGCTATTTTTATAGTGATTTTATAACGTATTACAATTTTCGAATAAATTATATTTGCTCTACTCTATATTGAGCACTCTTTTAAGGATAGTATTTTTTTTGTTATTCCATATACACCAATCCTATACTTGTGTGTGTGTATATATATATATATATATATATATATATATATATATATATATACACGCACACACATGATCAAAAAGATAGCCTATTAGTTAGCATGGGAAAAGTCCTTGAATATATCTTATTATGAAGCTAGTTGCTGACTTCTTGATGCATCAGACAGATACTCTTTCTTTATCATCTTGAAAAGTTTTTGGAATAATTCTTGTGCAAATTAAGTAATGTGTTTTTATATTTTTTCCTTACCAGAGAGGAGGATCCTTCTGATAAGAAGATGAAACTGGATGGCAACAATGCTGCCGGGACCAGTAGTCGGACAAATGGCTCCAAAGATTTGGCTATGGCATCAGCTGCTTCTGGCTCTGCAACTAATGACATTTCAGCTGCGGCTGGCATGCAGGCAACTGCCCAGAGCTATCCTTATGCACATTGGGGATCATACCAAGTAAGTAGCTTCCTTCTCAACTCCTCCTCCTCCTATACTGCCCTGACCTTTTGAACTCTTGGTTTATTTAAATGCACTTAGCAAAATAGGGATATAAATGATTATGCTGTCATTTTCAACTGGATTGGGCCCATCCCTTTTTCCTTGGGTCAGTGTAATAGTTGTGCACTCTGAGGAAAGGGTTACACATGTAAGATATAAGCAAAGGTAGAGGATAAGTAAACCTGTTAAAGAGAGAAAAAAAAAAATGAAAAGGGGGATGGCATCAAAGGAAAATCATAATGTCTTCAGTTTTATTATTCCTTTATAATTCGGTAAAGCTTTAATATTTTCACTTTTTGAGAGTGAGACACACCATATGTATAAAGGCAAATATATTAATACTATAGTGTCTGTCTATACACTTAGAGGGTGCGATGGGTAAATTGTCACCATTTTATATTTTTAATTTTGCACATGCACATTGTTTTTGATTTTGTTGACTGCCCAGTATAGTGGGGTCAGTTGGTTGTTTTTGATTTTGTTGACTGCCCAGTATAGTGGGGTCAGTTGGGCACCATCTGTGAGAAAAAAAGCATCATAACACAATTCACTCTGCCAGATATTTGAAAACGGCATGCTGTACTATTTGGTATTTGCACTAGAAGCTCCAATACAAACATTTCAGAGTGTTTGGGTGTCAATCTGAGGACAGTGCAGAGGATTCAGAAAGAGTCAGATGAGTCTAATGGGAATTACAAAGGTACACTAGATCGGAAAACTCACTCTGATACTTCTGATAAGAAAAGAACTTCCAAATTTGTTGGTGAGGGCCTCAGACTCAACAAGGAAGCCTACATCAAGTTCCTTGAGGAGGTAATGCTGCTCTGGGTAAAGAGGGTGGCTGCTAGATGTCTGGCAACCCTATGATGTTGCACCATGCCACACAGGCAGAACCCAGTAATTGCTGTCAGACAATTTCTGTGACCACATCACCCTTTACATCTGGCCACCTAACTCCCCAGATGGCAACCCCCTTTATTATTATGTGTGGGGAACACAGTTGAATGAGAGACCAACAAAACTCCTTGTCAGACCAAAGATGAACTGAAGGCAAGGATTATGGCAGCATTCACCAACTTAAGCAAGGAGTCTGTCCAGGAGATTCCAATGTCGATTTTATTGAATAAATTTACTCTTTAGTATTTCAAAATATTTTTGTGTAATTTGGTAAATATATCTATTAAAATGAGATGTCAGTGTTATTTTCAGTTTTGCGTAATTTAGACGACAATTCACCCTGTATACAGGCCATATTCCAGTTTTCTCCAAATTATGTTTGATGCAGAGTTTTCTTATTTTATAATCTGTATGGAGTTTTGCATCAAATTTGTGATCAATATTTCATTCAGTTTTTGATTCTTGACTCTCTTTCTCTCTATTATATCTTGTTCTAATGAGCTTTCCACTTTATCTCAACTACACAAATTTACTAGACTGGCAATTAGGTCCCGTTGTTTTACTGTTGAAATAGCTAGATGTAACTGTAAGTTCTATTCAAATAGTTTATTTTTCCCACCTGTGGATCTCTCTTCTGGTGTCTTGTTTTTCTGTCACCTAAACTATCAACATAAGTCACCATTTTTGTGTCTTCCTGAACTCTGTTCTTTTATTGTCCTTTCTCCTTGCTAATTTCTAATTTTTCAGTCTCAGTAACCCTTTGTGTCTAAGTGGCATTATTGCCTTTCTTGGAGAGAGAGAGAGAGATATAAAGAAAAGAAAATAATCTCAGTATGCATGAAATTACATGCACACACACACACACACACAATCATTTGTTCAGATTTTGCTTTTATAGTTATTTCTAGCGATTGCATTTATAAACTTTGACCACTATTGAAAATATTTCTTATGATAAAAAAAAAAATACACCCATTGTCAACCATGGAGTTAACAGCTTTTTACTGTTGCTATTACCTGAGTGTTTACCAAAGTGTTCACTATCCCACTATCTTGCATTACAATATTGTGGCATGCAAGTGATGAAATTTTCTTTGTCAGGTTATCTGACAATGATACAGTGCAGGGAGAAGTTGGTTTATGCTTTTTCTGCTTTGACAAAAATTTGAACCCTGCTGGTTCCATTTCTTGTACTAATAGCCATTACGTTACTTTCTGCCTCTGGCACGAAAGATTATTCATGAAGAATATGAGATTAATAAAATAATTTATTCCTAATACAAAAAGCATGAATGGGGGAAAATCTTAAATTAGGTTTTATTGATAGCTACATCATCTAAAAATATATCGGATATTTACTAAGACCTGTTTATTACTATTGGTCTCTCTCTCTCCCCTCTCTCTCTCTCCCCTCTCTCTCTCTCCCCTCTCTCTCTCCCCTCTCTCTCTCTCTCCCTCTCTCCCCCTCTCCCCCTCTCTCCCCTCTCTCCCCCTCTCTCCCCCTCTCTCTCCCCTCTCTCTCCCCTCTCCCCTCTCTCCCCCTCTCTCTCTCCCCTCTCTCTCCCCTCTGTAATCCCCATTATGTATGAAGTAACATGAAATAGATTCTGGACAATGTCACGTTTACTAATATATTGACTGCACCAAATGTTGAAGTAAAAGTGGAAACAGATTTTCATAGGATGACTTAATCTTCAGCTATCACATTTACACAAAATAGCCTTTTCTGGTTGTTTAATCATTAGAAGGAACGGCCTTCAGTAGGATGACCACTACTGACCAGACCTTGGTGAGTGGTAGGAAACTTGATCATTTGGCGTCTTATTTATGACTCATCATTTACAGTGTCCACATGTATATGATGATATTAATTGCTGCTTTATGCATCAAACTAACAAGACACCTGACTAACAAACATGACTTAAATGCTGAAGTAACACTAGTTCTATTTGAATAGGACTTTTATAGTTAGATACATTTATATATGCATATTCAAATAGGATGTGCAGGTAGTATAAGATATCACTTTGGGATTATGTTCAGTTGTCTCTTTTATGGAATATAGGAATAATGTGACAAACGAAAATTAACAGACATTAATAAATAAATTGAAATAGTTTGTGCAGCATTTGGTTATTATCCAGTTTATATGCACATGGTGCGACTGGATAAATTGTCACTGTTTTATATTTTTAATTTCACATGTGCATTGTTTGCTTTGGATTTTGTCAACTGCACAGTATATTAGGGTCAGTTGGGAACCGTCTATGAGAAAAAGAGCACAATGACATAAATCACTGTCAGAAATTTGAAAAATAGCAAACTGTACTGCTTGGCAAATGCGTCAGAAGCTCCAATATGAACATTTTAGAGTGGGTATTTGACTGTGCAGAGGATTCGGAAAGAGTTGGATGATTCTAATAGTGATTACGAAGGTACAGCATCTTGGAAATCTCCGTTCTGATAAGAACTGAATTTGTTGGTGAGGGCCTCAGACTTGATGCAGAGGCTTACATCAAGTGGCTTAGGAAGGTAGTGTTGCCCTGGTTCAAGAGGGTGGCTGTTGGAAGACCCTATCTCTGGCACCATGCCACAAAAGCAGAAGAACCCAGTTATAGCTGTCAGACAATTTTTGCCACCACATCACCCGTTACATCTGGCCACCTAACTCCCCAGACTGACTGCAACCCCCTTGATTATTATGTGTGGGGTGCAGTTGAGCAAGAGAGCAACAAAATTCTTTATAAGACCAAAGTTGAGCTGAAGGTAAGGATTATGGCAGCATTCACTAACTTAAACAAAGAGACCATCCAGTAGAGCTGCAGGAAATTCTGGAGTCATTCAAAAGCAGTGGGGATTTTTTTTTTCTTTTAGTATTTCAAGATTTTTGTAATTCTAGTAGATATATCTGTTAATTAAATGGCAGTGTTTTCATTTTTGTGCAATTTAGTTGACAATTTATTTTTTTTTATATATATATATATATATATATATATATATATATATATATATATATATATATAATATATATATAGTTTGGGCAGCATTTGGCTATTTGTTGCTCAAAACTGATTTGTGCTAATCAGTGGTTGGAGACCTGGCTGGCATCTTTTGGTGATTTGTAGCATTTGCATATTAGCTTGGTGTCCTCATATACTTTGACCTTTTCTTCCTTGAAGCATTTGACTCTTTCTATTGGAATGAGTAAGTGAAAATATTACTGTAGATGTTATTTAATACAATAATCGTTTTTTTTTTTTTTTTTTTTTTTTTTTTTTAATGTTCTCTGAGTCAAAGAAAGAAAAATTGCTGTAAAATTCTGATAGTGATACTCTTCAAGCCTCAATTTATGGATTTTTATAGTTTTTTTTTTTTTTTGGACAGCTTAACCTTTTGGCAGGTTATTTAAAGGAAGAAAATATTTTTAGATTGTAAGAGTTTGGTGGGGAGATGATGAGGATTTTACTGGTACAAGTCCTACTAATTAAGCCATAACTGGAGAAAGAGAAGAGGTTGATTCATAGCTTTCCAAAAGTTTTTACGTGTAAGTAAATATAACAAACCTGACTGAAATTGGAACTTTGGTCTCCGGTTTACAATTCACAGCACCTGAGATTTCCAGGTGGTCACCCATCTAGGTTTTGACCAGGCTTCATGTTGCTCTAAACATGAAAGAAGAATTAATTTAGTTGTCTATTTGAGATAAGTATTTATTTACTGAAGAGATAACAAGCAGCAATGTTGTTAGAGGTGACGAAGCGGCAATGTCGTCAAAGCTAAACTGTTATCTATTGAGGGTGACCTAGTCAGTCAACATTGACTCCATAACTTATTCTAAAGAAGTAATTTTGTATAGTACATTTGTTGGCTTTATGTAACCAATGGGTATGTCACACAACGGTGGTTAAAACTGCAGGCTGACAGGATTAATGGAAGATTTACCTTCAACCCTTACCTGAATTTTCTTTTAATGTACAGGTTTTATAAGATATAGTTGTAATTTTTCTGAAAATGTTTCAGCATTTTGTACAATTGACATACTTATCAATAAACTCTTGTAGTTTTGAATAGAAATTTACTTTTATACCAATTTCATTATTTGATCTGGTCTAAAACTTATAGGATTGAATATTTTAATTTTTGTAATTTTATTAATACAAATGATAAAATTATTCCCTCTGAATTTGTTTATTAATATATATTTCATTTTGTACTTTTAAATTTGTATTTTATTTTTCAGAACACACCTTATGGAGGCTACCCACATCCTCATTGGCCCTCCTATGGCAACCAGTATTACCCGTCCTAATGTGCATTTTTTTTATGTATGGGTGTTAGCATGCATGTGTGTGAGTATGTGTATACTATATGTGTATACACTTCTTCTACTGTTGCCTCCATTGGGTGGCTAAGGACATGGCTGACCAAGCACTTCTGCTGTTCACACCAGGACCATCAGGGCACCTTGTACCTAAAATGTGAATGGACAGCCTTCCAATTTGTCTGTCCAGCATTTTGGGGATTGTGGCCTTTGTTCATCAATATTGCATACTGATCATCTTTTGTTGTCGCATTTGAAAAAAACAAGTGGAATAAAAGATTCCTCCCAACTCTATAAAAAAAAAAGAAAAAAAGACAATGCAGCCTGTGTGCTTTTTTTTGTCATGTTAGCTGTGGCAAGACAGTGTTAGGGGAGCTAGAGCTCTGATGGGGATGAGAACTGGTGGAGATAAAGAAATTGGTTTAAATGTACCTCCCTTACTCTCTTTAGCTTCTCTCCTCATTACGGCTTACCTCCTGTTTCTATTTTCATCCTCTTGCCTTTTGCTCTCTCTGGTTGTAATCCTCCACCATTACCTCACCTGGTAGCCCTGGCCATTCTTTGACCCCTATCATTGTTCACTCTTTGGGTGATGCATCTACCAGCTCCTTTTCTACCTTGCCCCTTACATTCTAGCTGTACCTCTTGTTGCAGTTTGATTTCTATTCACTAGCCCTCCACCCCTCTCCACCAGAGGTGCATCTGGCTTTTCTAAGGCCCACTTTCATTCATCCCATGTTTTCAATGAATTTACCCTCCTTAAACTCTACCTCGAAAATGTCTCTCTTTATTTTATTTTTTGGCCCTCCTACACCTCGTCTTCTCTCAGAGTGATAACAGAAAGCAAATGGTAGCTGAGCTGTTTCTATGCCAACCAATTCTCTTTTTTTTTTTTTTTTTTTTTTTTTTTTCTTTTTTTTTTCTTTTTTTCATTTTGACATGTGTAAATAAAAATGTTAATTTTGCCATTTGTTTTTTTTCTCTCTCTCTCCCCCCTCCCCTTCCCTTCTTTAAAGTTTAAACCATTCATTTGACTGAGTTCTTAAAATGTGTTCATGAAACACACACAAATCTAAATGTCAAGTGAAATAAACAACTGAAAGGAAATCTCTACAAATATTTTTGAAAATAAATTTCCGTTTGGATTGAGTTGAAGTCCAATCACTATTTGTTTCTTAATCTTTTCACTGTTATTCTTCTAAGGACAAAAAAAAAAAAAGAAAAAAAGAACAAGGATTTTGGTGAATCTAAATAGGTTTTGTTTTGCTTCTGAATTTTGGTAAAAAAAAAATTTAACCTCCTTGTATATTAGTGACACATGAAATTTATAATCATTTACCTGTTTTTATTTCATGTATCCATTTGTGGAATGTTGCGAGCTTTACCAATTTAGCATCTGACAAAATTAATGGCTAAACTGATGACATAATAACTCTCCAGAAGAATCTCGGTTCACATATGCATGGGAATTAATCTCTGGTTTGCTTGTGAAGTGACACTATGGCTACATGACTGTTTCTTGAGAAATGAATGTCTAGTTTGAAGGCAGATTGTGTGTAATATATATATATATATATATATATATATATATATATACACACACACACTATTCAGGCCTTCAGTAATGGTACCAACATTCATAAATAGGAGTTGACATGCCGTTAAATCCAACATTCATACTCTGGCTTCCATCTTCAAAGTCCATTCAAGAACCATCAAGAGAATGGTGAATAAGTTTAAAAGAGGGAACAATAGAGAGGAAAGCTGGGTCACAACAGGAAGAGGGATCATCATTTAAACTAAAGAGATCAATTAGAAAAGATCCAACTCGATCCATAAGACGTTTGGCACATGAGAGGAGAGTTTCAACTATGACAGTCCAAAGAACAGTGAAAAGACTTGTAAATGAAATTGTGTCTGAAATATGTGAGACATCTTGTTAAACCATGACAGAAAGCTAGGTTAGATAGGGTGAAGATCATCTTGAATAAGTTGTAAAATGACCCTGGAATAACACACACACATGCAAGTAGAAATGTGTGTGCCATGATGTGTATCACTTCTTTTTTTTTTTTTTCTTTCTAAGAAAATGATGATTGATTTTAAATCAGTTATAATTTGTGTAGAAAAATGATGCATTTCAGTACTTCTCAATGATCTTGCCAATGTGACCTCCATCTTCTGGCTTTCTCCTTTTATATTTTGGATAGGAGTCATTCCTTTCTTCAAATTTAAATTTCATTTGTATCAAA